TGTTTGGGCACACAGTAAAAACACACATTCTACAGTTTATGTTTGGGAGGTCTGTGATATGACCTTGAGGTGCCCATGAAAGCTGGTTTGCGGGGAAGATGTAAACAACTCTAGACACTGGTTTGGCTCTGTAATTAGCTGATGCCAAATAAACAAATACAAAACCTAAAAGCAAACAATTTTAAAATTCCCAGCAGCAGTTTGTATGCAATTTGTGGGTGACAAGGTAGGCAATCAAGGGCTCTGTTCTTCAAATATTGGGGACCTGTGTACTGATCACTAACTGCTGCTTCTGATTGTGGAGGCACAGAGGCAAGCAGCCCTATAGCAAGGCTCCCACTCCCGGCTATCATTACTTCCACCTCCAGCTGAAGAAACTTTGAGAGGATTTAAAGGGCCAGCACTTCTTTCTTCACCTTATTTTTCTCTTTTTCTCCTTTTGGGAGTCAAATATTTAAGGACTAGATCATTATAAAAAGCAAATGCATATACAGGGAAATTCAGAAAGTCACTGATGGTCTTCCCAGGAAGAAGTGGAGGCTCAGGAAAAAACCTGAGAAGACCTTGTTTACACCTCAGGCTGATACTCAGCATAGACAGCCCCACAACAATTAAAAACCAAAAATAACAAACAGAATGATAATAAAAATCAGCAAATCATTGGGAAGGGGAAGAATCTGATTTCCAGAGTTACCACATCATTACATTCAAATAGCCAGTTTTAAACAAAATAATCACAAGGCATAAAAAAACTGGAAACGTAAAGCCCATTCAAAGTAAAAAAGTAAATCAACAGAAACCATCCTTGAGAAAGAGCAGATGGTGGACCAACCAGACAAAGTCTTTAAAACAACTGTCTTAAAGAGCTAAAATAACTAAAGGAAGATGTGGGAGAAGCTAAGAAAATGATGTATGAACAAAATGGAAATATCAAAAGGGAATTCTGGAGCTAAGAATTACAATTCCTGAAATGAAAAACTCACTAGAGGAATTCAAAAGCAGATTAGAGGAGGCAGAAGAATCAGCAAACTTGAAGGTAAGATAAGAGTTACTGAGTTAGGGGGGAGGGAGGGAAGGGAAGGGAAGGGAAGGAAGGAAGGAAGGAAGGAAGGAAGGAAGGAAGGAAGGAAGGCAGGAAGGAAGGCAGGCAGGCAGGCAGGCAGGCAGGCTGAAGAAACATGAACAGAACCTAAGGACATACTGTCAAGCGGAGCAAATACACATAGTGGGAGTCTCAGAAAGAGAAAACAAAGGGGCAAAGCAATTATTTGAAGAAATAATTGCTGAAAACTTTCAAATTAGGTGAAAGAACTATAAACATCCAAGAAGCTTAATGAACTCTTTAGTAGAATAAATTTCAAATACCCACACATTATAATGAAATTATCAAAAGCAAAAAACAGAATCTTGAAAGCACTAAGAGGGTACTTGCCCTATACAAGGGATCATCAATAAGATAATTGGTAGATTTCTTTTTTTTTTAATACTTTATTTATTTATTCATGAGAAACAGAGAGAGAGAGGCAGAGACACAGGCACAGAGAGAAGCAGGCTCCATGCAGGGAGCCTGACGTGGGACTCAATCCCAGGTCTCCAGGATCACGCCCTAGGCTGAAGGCAGATGCTCAACCGCTGAGCCACCCAGGTGTCCCAATTGGTAGATTTCTTATTAGAAACTCTGGAGGTCCATTTGCTTCAAAGTGGATGGAACTGGAGGGTATTATGCTGAGTGAAATGAGTCAATCAGAGAAGGACAAACATTGTATGGTCTCATTCATTTGGGGAATATAAATAATAGTGAAAGGGAATAAAAGGAAAAGGAGGAAAAATAAGTGGGAAATATCAGAAAGGGAGACAGAATATGGAAGACTCCTAACTCTGGGAAACAAACTAGGGGTGGTGGAAGGGGAGGTGGGCGGGGGGTGGGGGTGACTGGGTGGCGGGCACTAAGGTGGGCACTTGACAGGATGAGCACTGGGTGTTGTTATTCTGTATGTTGGCAAATTGAACACCAATAACAAATAAATTTATTATTAAAAAAAAAAGAAACTCTGGAGGTAGAAAGGAGTGGACTGATATAGTAAAGTGCTAAATAGAAAAAAAAAATCAACCAACATCCCTGTATCTGATGAAAATGTCCCTCAAAAGTGAGGGAGAAATTAAGACATTTACAGATAAACAAAAGCTGAGAAAATCTGTTACCACTAGAACTGCCCTGCAAAAATTGGTAAAGTGAGTCCTATAGCTTAAAATGAAAGTACACCAAACAGTGATTCAAGGCCATATATAGAAATAAAGGTCTCAGAAAGGTAACTAACTAAATGGGCAATTGTAAAAGCTAGTATTATTGTAACTTCAATTTGTAACTCTTTTTTTTCTACGTGATTTAGGAGACCAATACCCAGGTATCTATCAACATATGAACAGATATATATATACAAAAGAATATTATTCAGCCTTAAAAAGGAAGAAAATTCTAACACATGCTACAATGTGGTGAACCTTGAGGACATTATTCTAAGTGAAAAACAGTCACAAAGAGACAACTATTCTATGATTCCGCTGATACAAGATGCTTAGAGTAGTCAAATTCATCAAGACAAAGTAGAATGGTGGTTGCCAGGGGATGGGAGGAATAGGAAGTTGTTTAATGTGTATATAGATTCAGTTTTATAAGATGAAAAAGGGTTCTGGAAATGGATGGTGGCAACTGTCACACAACAGTGTGGATGTACTAACACTACTGAACTATACACTTAAAGGTTAAATGGTAAATTTTATGTAACATGTATATTACCACAATAAAAATATTGAGGTAAAACATTATTAAAGTGGATATCAGGGACAGGGATGCCTGGGTGGCTCAGGGTTGAGTGTCTGCCTTCGGCCCAGGGCATGATCCTGGAGTCCTGGGATGGAGTCCCACATCCGGCTCCCTGCATGGAGCCTGCTGCTCTTTCTGCCTGTGTCTCTGACTCTCTCTGTGTCTCTCATGAAAAAAAAAAATTAAAAAAATAAAATATTTAAAAATAAATAAATGAAGTAAATTAGGAATGTCAAAAGAACTGCCTGCTAATTCAGCAATAAAACAATATTCTCAATCAACTGCTAATTTGAACTTTGTGGTTTTATAGTTTTGTTTATACTGAATTTGAGAATGTGTTAAGTTTTATAATTGTTGAAAAATCAAAAGCAGGATGAATTATTTGCCTTTGAGGTTATAATTTAGAATAAAAACTTAAATCAACAATAGAAGTGTCTGCAGCAGTCCCACTGAGGAATGGTAAAAGGCTTTAAATGAGCAACTTTAGCTTACTGCAAAAAGCACAAAGAATACATTTTTAGCAAAGCATACCAGGATCCATCAGGTGGGAGAATTTCCAGGTGGAAATTCCAAAGATTAGTGTGTTGTGCATGCCAAACTGAGAAACACTAAGAAAATACAGCAAACTGATCTGCAACCTACTAAAAGGTTTCATCTTGGTTTGGTATTTCAGGATTAGGAGTTCCTTTCATTCAGTAAAAGAATCGGGCAACTATTAAAATTCAATGTCTCCTGGCAGAGTTGAAGCATACAATCATTTTCTGATCAAAGCTGCACCACAATACTGTCTAGAAAAGGTAGAGGACAAAGGAAAGTATATGTGTGTTAATATATGTGTGTACATATATGTATGTGTGCATGTCCATATACATTCATATAGGCACATGTACATACATATATCCTTAATATACACAGAAAACTTTGAATTTTTTTTTTAATTTTTTTTTTTTTAAATTTATGATAGTCACACACACACACAGAGAGAGAGAGGCAGAGACACAGGCAGAGGGAGAAGCAGGCTCCATGCACCGGGAGCCCGACGTGGGATTCGATCCTGGGTCTCCAGGATCGCGCCCTGGGCCAAAGGCAGGCGCCAAACCGCTGCGCCACCCAGGGATCCCTGAATTATTTATTAGTACTAAGTACTTTCCACAGCTCCATCTGTTGAGAAGGGCTTTCAAGCTGCAGCTTTGAAAGCTCTTAGCTAATCACTTAGAAATAAAACATGAAAATCATAACCAGTTGGCATTAAACACAAAATAAAGAATTCCAAAAGGGACTTTAAGAACACTGTCTACTTTCACAGCTGTAAAAGGCAAATACACTCCAATCTATATTTTAGCATGAATTTTGTCCCCAAATAAAATGTTCTCTTAAAGCTGACCAAATCCATTTCATTTGGTAATCACTTATCAAGGTACTGCCTGTAGTAAGCACTGTTCTTGGTGATGGAAATCAAAGTCCCAGTCCTCTTGGAGCTTATATTCTAGAGAGGCACAGAGAGACTATAAGCAACAAATAAAATGTGTTGGATGATGGTAAGATCAATGAAGGAACACGTGGGAGAGTGGAAGGGGCTGCAATTTTAGCAACTGTTTCCTACATTATTAAAGTGAATTCAAGATTGCATCACTTGTTGGGGATCCCTGGGTGGCTCAGCAGTTGAGCCTTTGGCCCAGGGCCACATCGGGCTCCCTGCATGGAGCCTGCTTCTCCCTCTGCCTGTGTCTCTGCCTCTCTCTCTCTCTGTCTCTCATTAATAAATAAATAAAATCTTAAAAAAAAAAAAAAGATTGCATCACTTGTTAAGTGGGGAAAACTTAAATCTGCTTATGTAATAAACATTGTTCAGACTAAATTAAATGAACTTTAGTTTCAATATACCTAACTCTTAATTAAGTCACTACTTCATCATTATCTTTAGCATGTTTAAAATTTTTCTAAGTGGGTTTATGAAATTGATGTAAAAGAGATTTTCACAACCAAAAGAGTTGGGAAGTGCTATGCTTCCTTAAGGCTCATATAGGAGATCAGCAGTTCTCATAGATTTTGCACACGCCCTGCTCAGGAGGGGAACAGCTAGTGATGTCTGGAGACATCTTTGGTTCTCAGAACTGGGGAGGGTACTACTGGTTATCTAGTGGGTAGAGGCCCGGAATGCTGGCAAATACCATACCTTTGCAAGACAACCCTCTGCAACAAGGAACTATATGGCCCCAAATGTCTGCAGTGCTGACGTTGAGAAACAGACAAATGATTGTGAGCATGTGGTGAGACCTCTAATAAAAAGCACATCCACCATTTAGGGCAGTGGGATCAGAATGAAGAGCCTGTGTGGGCAGGGAATAGAAGTGAAACAGCAGGTGGCATTTTAACTTGGACTAGAGGGAGAAGAAAAGATGAAGAGTGAGGACTGCAGAAGGAACAGCATGAGCAAAGAAAGGGAGGGACACATTAATGTGCAGCATCCGTAGGGATTAGCAGGCTCCTAATGGATTGTGGTTACTTTCTATTTAAATAGTACTTATTCAGTATAACTAACATAATCCTAAAAGTAACGTGTAAATCCACATTTCAAATGTATAAAATTATTCACTTTCCATATATCAAATTTACTAAAGCAAGCCACTCCCCTTCCCAACCGTATACATTCACACAGCGTCATATTGCCGTCTGCAAGTTATTTTGGTCAAGGCAGTGTGATTCAGTGGAAAGGGCATTAACCTAGGCCTCATGTCAGACTCCTGAGTAAATGCGGGGGGGAGGGGGTGGGGGGGGACCTAAGATAGTTTGGAGGCTTCCCCTACAAATGGGTAAGAATGGCCTATAGTTTAATATAGATCATAACGTACAACGCGGTCAGCACCTGCTGTACATGTACACCTCCCCGCAGCCACATCCCTATCAAGCCATCCTGCTCTTAACCCATCACCCTCCCCGCCGGAAGTGTCCCCACCGAGAGGGATCCCAGACTGTGACCCTCTCTGGTGCCCTGGGCCCTTCCTCTCTTACCCATCGCCCTCCCCCCACCCCCAAGCGTCCTCATCCAGCGGGGCCCCTGACTGTGACCGTCCTGTGCCCTGGACCCTTGCAGCAGCACCGCCTGCCCTCGGGGAGCTGAGGCCTAGTCTACCCCACTCTGCGCCCCACGCCGGCAGAGCACCTGCTCCTAAGGCCCCAGCGCAGGTGCGGAGGCTTGGCCGTCAGGAGCAGTGGGCCCCGTCCGGTTTCTGACCGGAGGGGCGTTCCCGTCCTGCCCGGCCCGGGGGGGGGGGGGGGGGGTCTCTCCTTCCGCACCTGGCCTGCCTCACCCCAGACGTGCGGACCCTTCCCGGCTGGGCTCACGAGGCCGAGGCCGGGTCACACACGAGCAGCTACTCTCGGCTCGGCTGCAGCTCGCCTGCCATCCCTAGACACCACTAATTGAAGCCCTCCTTCTTTACTGCACTGGATAAAGGGTGACAGACAAAAAAAGAACCATAACCGATTCCGAAGCCCGAGCAGCGCGGAAAAGACCGACCCCACCTTGGCGCCCGGGATCGTCCCCTCTCGAGCCACGCGTGCGCAGTCGCCTGGGGTGGGACAGTGGGCGGGGCCGCCCCGCACGGGCGCGCGTTCGCGCATGCGCGGGCCTTCCCTCCCGCGGGCTCTTCCGCGAGGCCTGGGAGGGTGGGGTCTCCCGGCTGTTCCAGCCCCGCTCCAACCTCCCGCGAGTGCGGACTCTCGCCGTTCTCTGTCCTATAAATTACCTCCAAGGATGGTGGCAGTAAAAGACAACATTTAAGGTTTTAGATTCCCTTCAAGGTAAATGTCTTCCAAGTAGCTTATTTGGCACTTGAAACTAATGTAGCGTGTCACAGACATCAAATTCAAACCTTTATCTAGTTGACTCAGTTTTAATAAAGGAATTAAGAGGAATTAAAATTAACTAAATTGAGGCTTTGTAACATCGTTAGGATTGGAAAAACTCTCAAACCCTGGTCAGATTTCCTCCCCCCTCGGCAGGATCTACCTACCCAAACTTAAGTGTGGTTAGTGTCAGTCTAGCCTCACGCATCTTCCTGCGGGGTCAGCTGCAAATAATGCGAGATGCAAGATCTGACTGCTCAACAGCTGTCTTCACGCTGAAGTAAGACCAGCTACTAATTGGCAATCTAATTATGACGCAAAAACATTTTCCACGGAAATGATGGCCACTTTTTGGTCGGCTGACTTACCTGGAGCCTTTCTGAGCCTTCCCGGAATTGAGTGCGTTGACAGTGGTATAGGCACCGAGCACACAGTATCTACCGCAAAACAGGCGCTTAATGTAAGAAGGGTTCCCGTCCACATCAGACTGAGGTACTTCTCCATTCCCCAAGGCGATCAACGTTATGTCCCTACCTTCTCCTCCTTTACCAATTTTATGATCTTGCTAAGTTTTATATATTCTAAATAGCTTTAAATCCTTTTTTCGATAAGCTGAGGATATAAATGAATTGCTCAGCTGCCAAAGGATGCCATTCAGTAGTTCATAAAAGAGGTTTACAATTTTGTACCATAATTTCTATTTTAAATACTGTTTCCAGGCCTATAACAACTCATGCTTTATTTCTACTTTGAAGGCTCTGAATTGATGATAAATCTATTAAACAATATTTCAAAATCAGATGTAACTTAGCAAAGGAGCTAGAAAGAAAACCAAAAGAAATCAATAACATGAACCAAGAAACAATAATCAACTTTTATGGCAGTACACTTTTACAGAGGTAGTGTTCCATGCATGTGAGACTGCCCTGGCTTACAAATTAACAGAAGAGTTTATGCTAAAGCACATTATTTTTGGTTTGAAACTTTTTAAGCTTTCAAAGTTTCAGTTGCTTTCATAACATGAGACACAAGTTACCTTGATGTAAACAACTACGTTATTTTTATAATTAAGGTGACCTACGCCATCAGGAAGTTTGTATAATTGTACCTACACCAAGAGTGCAGACTGCCCAGACAGCATCTCAGTACTACATGAAGATCAGAATTTTCCTGGTGAAACATTTGCATTGTAATTTAGTGGTTTTTGAAAATCATAAAAAATGTAAGTCATCAAAGGCAATTTATTGTTGAAGTAAAATGAAGATTATTTGTCAAGTTAAACTGGACTTAAAAGATGCTTTCAAATCAATTTCAATTCAGGAATTACTCCTTTGTGTATTCAGAAATTATTTTTGTTCATCTTGCAACTTCAGAAATTATGCATAAAAGAGATGAAGATTACTTTGAAAAGGTGATGATGAGACTTGGTTTTCCTTTTCTAAAAAATATCTAGTAATTACCCATAATTACAAGTACACAGATTCTGGTCTTTTTCTTCCATTTGTCAAGTACTGTATCACCACACTACTCAAGCATGTTGCAAAGGATGTTCCCTTCAAATTCTAGTCGCAAAAGATACTTTGAGAAGAAACCACTAAATAAGCTGATGAAAATCTCATTAAGATCTTCTAGAGCTTCCAAGGTGCATTAGTGTAGTAAAGCTTTAGCTTCACATGGTAAAAACAAAACAAAACCAAAAAAATCCCACTTGTTTTATTTCTCCAATTAATTTGATAAAAGCTAAGTTATAGAGAATTAGTGATTCGTGAAACTTACTTTAGGAATCACTTTATGATTGTTGTTGTAAGAATATGAGCTGATTATTAACAGAAATTGAAACTACTGACTTAAAACAATCAATTTTCTCATATAGAAAAGAAGAAACAGTAAATAATATGGTGAGCTCTATCCCAATACTAACATGGTGGTTGTGGCTAGGGCTAGGTCACATCTAAATGATGTGGAGAGGGATCCCTGGGTGGTGCAGCGGTTTGGCGCTTGCCTTTGGCCCAGGGCGCGATCCTGGAGACCCAGGATCGAATCCCACGTCAGGCTCCCGGTGCATGGAACCTGCTTCTCCCTCTGCCTATGTCTCTGCCTCTCTCTCTCTCACTGTGTGACTATCATAAATAAATAAAAATTAAAAAAAAAATAAATGATGTGGAGATAAAACCGTATTTAAAAGTAATTAATGATTATCAGGTATTATTAGACATTTATTGATCAAAATGTGTTCTTAGAAATAATCTTTAAGTATAATGAAATCGATTGAGCATCTGTTATATCCATTATCATGTTTTAAATATTTCCTTTGGGAAGAATTAACATTTATGGTCCTAGGACATAGAAGATAGGCCCATGAAAATTAACATAAACCCTAAATAGCTTACTAAGGAATTGCATCTATGGCTCTCTGCCTCTCCCCTGTACTGTACAGTTCATGTTTTTTAAAATTTTTTTATTTATTCATGAGAGACACAGAGAGAGGCAGAGACATAGGCAGAGAGAGAAGCAGGCTCCCTGGGGGGAGCCTGATGCAGGACTCCATGCCAGGACCTCAGGATCATGTGTACTGTACAGTTCAAATGGCTTTACCAAGTAGTTCACAGAAAGGACCATGCAGGCAATGCAATTGTAAGCAGGTGTACAAATGAATATTGCAACCAAAGATCTCCCCAGGCTTACGAGAAGGAATATTTGAAGACTAATTGGCAAAATAAACTGAAGTGAATACTATCAACACTTAAAGTAACTACTGTGGAAATAAGAATATTTAGCTGATCCCTATTTAAGTGCACTTCACCTCAGGTTTTTCATTCTTCAACTCCAGGAATCATCAGTGATTTACTTCTGTTCACTGTGATGCTAGATGTTAAAAATAATTTACCCGGAAAGAAGTCAGTAGGAGGTGAGACAGAATCTGCAATTAGTACTGTATGGAATTTCTGAGCAGATTTTCTCATTAGTTTCACTGAACATGCCTTTGCTTCCACTTAGTTTTAAAAGAAAGTCAAACTGAACTGCTATCTGAGATTACAAAGAATGCACAAGACTCAATCTGGGATGCTATGCTTAAAACACAAACAAAAACGTCACATAATCTAATCAATGCAACAAAGGCATTATTCACAAATTACCCAATATAAAATGACTGTATTTCTTTTTAAAGATTTTATTTGAAAGAGAGCATGTGACAGAGAGTGAGCGAGTGAGTGTGCCTGAGCAGTGAAGAAGGGCAGAGGGAGAGGAGAGGGAAATGCAGACTGCCCACTGAGCAGGGAGTCTGATGTGGGACTTAATTCCAGGATCCTGGGATCATGACCTGAGCTGAAGGCAGACGCTTAACCGACTGAGCCACTCAAGTGCCCAAAATGACTGTATTTTTAGAGAGAGCCATTAAAGATTACTTTTTAAAACTACTAATTTTTATATTTGGAGCCTTTAAAATCAGCTATGGCTCTCTTCAGATGACAAGTGATGAACCTGTGCCTACGGTCCCCCCTTAATAATGAAAGGGGTGAAACAAAAACTCAACATGCACTCTACTTACTCTACCTCTTAAACAACCTTTTCCTTTACCCAACCTTGGAGTAGAACCAAATTTCAACATAACCTAAGAAATACTATTATAAATCAATGAATATTCAAAGCAAAATTAAGTTTAAAATAAATATATTTCAAGCATTTCCTTTTCTTAAGAAAATTAACTTCACTGCACATGTTTACAAGATTTTAGATTGGGTGAAGGGTAAAAGTTTGTAAGTCTAACACAGAGCAGGATAGTAATTTTCCACTTTTCCTGAAAGGACAAAAAAGAATGACCCAAACTACTAAAAATATTTACTACAAATATACCCAAATCCAGTGATTTAACTAATAACTCTGAAAATGTTTCTAAGACCGTAAGGTGAAATAAAAAATAAATATGCTCAATATTACAGAATATACACAAAACTTTTTCTTTCTGAATTCTGAATACTCATTAGGGTTTTGGTGTTTTCCCAGGAGGTAATGCAAATCTTTATACAGATATGTCCCATGTCTTTTTATCTAAAATTATTTTATGATTGTGTAATATCCCCAGTGTCAAATGTCCTATGATTGTAAATGAACTAGCACCATTTCAATAAGCTTCATAAAATAGTCTAGCTAAATACCCATGAACAAATCACACATGGTCAAAACAAAAATGTAATAAAAATATTTAGTGAAAAGACACATTTAAGTCCCATTTATGGATTTAAAAAATACAAATAAAATTTTATCAATGTGATATTCAGCTTGTAACTGGCTCAATACATAGCCTTGATTTATTTCCTAAAATCATACTGTAGCATCTTTTGAAAAATTAAATGCAATTTTATACCTTCATTAGTAATGTTAATAGAGGTAAATATTTAAACAGTATACTCATCCCTGGGTCTCTTAAAAAAAACTGAAAAGTCAGTGTAAGTTTAAAATTTTAATATTTATAAATTTAAAAAATTTTACACGTGCTGAATGGTAGCAGTGCTAACATTTTGTGACCATTAAACCACAAACTCACTGCATGGAGCTTCTTTCTTTGTACAGAGAACCAAATCACAATACCAGTATTTGCAATTTGTCATAATTTTATGTGGTAACAAAGACACCACACCAGGAAGCCTGGGCTCAGAACACACTTGAGGTCAGATCCCCATCAGGTACATAGTGCGGATGCAGTATTTTTAATTTCAGGCTAGGAAAATAGCTATTAGTACACATTTGATAGCTCCTAATAGCTAAGAGGCCTAAGAATATAGACTGAAAAGAAAAAAAAAAATCTCTCCACTGGTGGGAAGGCCTGGAATAAGTGAAAGCAAACCCCAGTGGGTGAGGTGAATGAAGATGGTTTTTGGTGTGAGTCTCAGGGAGTCTAATGTACCAGCTGTACCTCCCAATCACCACTGAAGCTGTCATACAATATTCCAGTCTTTCCAAAGTAGAGCTATAGGCCAGAAACATGATTTCATCCATCCTCTTTAAAAAAAAAAAAAGAATGGATACTCAGTATTAGGTTTATATCTTTACCTGAACCAAATATATTCTTTGGCTAAGTATGTCATGGGTTTCCATTATCATCAGTCAGGAATATTTCACACTTCTCACAACTAAATTTAAATATTTAAAGTTCAGCTTTAGCCAGAGCACTTCAAATTAATTTGAGCTCAGCAATATACCTAATTTGGACATTTTTTTTTTATTTTAGGAAATTACTTTTTAAAGAATTCTTAAATGCAGTGTTTTACCAAATGAGAGAATACCCACTCACATTTTTAAATAATTTAAAACCTTATTACATCCTCAAATCACCTATGCTGTTTTATAGAAGAATTTATAGAAAATTATGTTAAAAACTCATATCCAAACAGTTCCCTATTCTGTTTAGAAAACCAAACAAAACACTAAGAAGTACTGAGGTTCCCTTCTGTCTTAACAGCTAATATTTTATTCAGGAACCAATAATGGTAATTATCTGTCAGAGACGGCTAACTTAAGTAAGGTCTAATGACAACCACCTCTAATGACAGAAGTGGCCAACAGAAACAAGTAAAACTGTAACAGACAGAAGAGTTTAAAGATTTAACTGACACTGAATACTAGGACTCTCAAACCTGAAATCCTTGAAAATGAAAGCTAGTTCCCTTCAATACTGGAGGGATTCATACAAGTATTAACAGAAATGAGAAATATGGTGATACTAAAAAGACAAAGACTTGATATCCTGATAAAAGAAGTTCAATCAAAGACAGTAAGGGAGTGTTAAATATTGCTGGCTGGGGGGAAGTTATAGAGATGCTTGGTTGTGAAATGAAAACTGAAAAAAAAAAAAAAAAAGAAGGTAGTAACCATCATATCTGAACAGAGTAATGTATATAATTAGATACATGGTTTACAATGAAATAAGACTAAATACTTAAAATTTTAAAAATATTGCAGTTTTGTTTTGTTTTTTACATGTTAACAAAAAAACTCAATGCAGTGATGTTAACATGCTCCCTGTTCTCCCATCTTCCAACAGATTCAGAGACGGCAAGGCAGAAACACCCGGATAACTGTGTTGAGGACACTGTCAAATACTGCCAAATAGTTTACTCAGGCAACCCCCCACCCAGAAAGACTGTAAAAACTAATCCTTTTCACAGAGGTACAAGAATGCAGTTACAGGTACCGTTACATGGATACAAGTTGTGAAAGGACCAAGTCCTTACTGACTGTGCCTTGGGACTCTGTAGAGACTGTGCTTTTTGGAAACAAATGTGCAAGGAAAATAAAACAAGAAATAAGTCTAATAATAAAGAATGAACTGAAAACTAGAAGTTAAAAGATACTATATCTGAACAGAAATTTTGTAAAACACAAAATTCTAAAAATCATATCCTCAAAAGTGTCCCTTTAATGTATAGAAGGGGGGCACAAATGTTTTTGTTTTTAAAACTCTTTTAACAAGTTAGTTTTAATAGTAAAAATCAACTTACTAGAATTAAGCCAGTGTTCTTTACATCCACTGGGCCAAGAGCATTAAAACAAAAATCCAGGGATCCCTGGGTGGCGCAGCGGTTTGGCGCCTGCCTTTGGCCCAGGGCACGATCCTGGAGACCCGGGATCGAATCCCACGTCGGGCTACCGGTGCATGGAGCCTGCTTCTCCCTCTGCCTGTGTCTCTGCCTCCCTCTCTCTCTCTCTCTGTGACTATCATAAATAAAAAAAATAAAAAAAAAATTAAAAAAAAAAAAAAAAAAAAAAACAAAAATCCAAAATCCAAAGAGCCAGTAAACATAGCCAAAGACAAAACTGGACAAAGTAAAACAAAAGACCCAAACTAAACAAATATTAAATCAAGCAAACATACACATACACCCAGAAAAGAAGTCTTAGCTGTTGAAATTAAAGTGTCATCCCCATTACCAAGAAAATGGTGGTGGCGGTTATACCCCAGTTTGCCACTAATCAACATTCTGGGGATACCCAAGTATTATTTGGTCCAATCCAAAGTAAATCTTGCTTTAATTGAAACTGACCTAATGAAATTGCATAGTGTAATGACATTTGGGCCAATTCAGCAGAAATTTCTGTCTAGAGAAAAGTTACTAAATACCGATGCCTTTTCATTTACCAAGGCATTTCTTTCCTACTCCCCTTCATTTTTAACAATCTGATTATAGTTTTGTCCTGGCCAGCAGTTGCGTACTTTAGCGTCCTTTGGCAAAGGGACTCTACGTACTGAACATACAGATATGCACAGCTCACAGATACTGAGGAAGGGTGAGAGAGCCGAGAAACAAAACACCACGAACAATGCCACAGCAGACTACAAGTTAAGGGCGAAGAAGAAGAAATCTAAAAATAAATGCACTTGTTCGAAGTGTCTTTAAACATACACTACGTATATGTCATGAAGAGCAGCAGCAGCTTTTTCCCGGCTGTCTTTTAAGATGTTTTTGCTCCACCTCAGCTGTTACTCAACAGTGATCGAATTAAGAGTAATGTTCCTCAAAAAGCTATGGCCCTCGGCTTTGCATTCACTTGTGTGTAACATCACATGCACAGGTGGGATGTAATCTAGATGCTCCAGTTTGGTGAACTGTAACTGTTAGGAGCACAAAGTTATACCAGGTTTTGCACAGCGTTATGTCTGGAGATGCATATACCATATGCAATTCCTATATGAACACTACATTTGAAGGATAGTTGAGTGTATAGGTGTCAAGAACACAGCAGAAAGAGAAAGCCCATCCCCTGGAAGCACAGAGTGTGCCTGCACCAGAGTCTCTGTCACTGTGCCATGGGATTTCTGACATTGTGGTGGGCAGAGTTTCATAAGCCTGCAGTTTATAAATTAGCTTTCATTTCCATAATTTAAACTGGTACACAGAATTAAGGGGAGCATGGCAGCAGTACAAAAGTCCTGATTAGAAAAATCAAACTAGAGGATCTAAATAGGAATTTTTTAATCTCTTAAATTAAATTTACATGGCTCCTGTGAAATGAGAACGTCCACTCTAGCATTAATTATTGCCCCTAATGCCCCAATGTATAATAGTCTGTATGAATCAGTAATTCACATCCTTTAAGATAGTTATTGCTTAAGCAAGCCATTCAGAGTAGATTATTAGCCATGGGCCACATGACTGAAGAGAAACATACTCAAATTACACTATATATGAATGAGCCTTTCATTTCATTCATAAACCCACATAAATACACAATCAAAAGGGCACCAGGTTCATAGCAGCTAACACCCTAAACCAACTCTGAAGCATCAAGACTTGATTTCTTACTAAAACAAATCTGCTCTTTTTTTGTATTTTCTTGTTAAAATTAAGGCAATGAAATGGCTACAGTTCCTAAAGTTCTTTTTATGGAACAAAAATATACACGTATTTTCCTCAAGTTCAGTCATCAGAGTATGATTAGAGACCTGTATTACACAAAACCTGCAACACCAGGCTGATGTTACAAAAAAAGAAAGAGCGAGAGCACGTGCTACAAGAGTCCAACAAACACCTGGCATTCCTTCCTCCTGCTGAATTACAAACCTGATCAATCAACAAAGGGAGGAAAAGTTTGAAAGCACAAAACCTCTTAGGAGTGTCCAATGTCTTTTGCATTGATTCAAAACTTTTGAGGTGGCAGAGGGGAAGAGCTTATTAAAATGAAGACTCCAAGGCCCAACACATAGAAATTCTGACTCTGAGCATCTATACTCAGGCCCAAGAATCTATCTTTTCAACCAGCCCCTCGAGTGATGCAGGTGATCTGTGGACAACATTCTGAGAAACAATGCTGAGCATACGTCCATCTAATATTTAATTTAACAAAAATTCTAAACTTTGGCTAGCCACCTAGCGATTTGATAAAGGGGGAAAGGCACTGAATATGCATTTCATGGTGCCCATATCTGTTCGCACATATATGGAATTGAAAATCTTAAATCACCATTCAGAATCTACAAGACATAGATGACAAATTGTGGCTAACACCCAACAGCAGAAGCTGATTCAAAGGTGACCTCTCCTGTTTCACTGCATTACATGTTAGACTTTCAGGCGCTCCGAAATCCAAAATGGCCAAAGAACTGAAGAACAGGACAAGACTCAAGTCAGCTTTTAGCAATTCAGTGCACTTTGCAGAAAGGATCTAAATTAAGCATAAAGTTTTGTTATTTATTTTACACAAAGGAGACCACCAACATTTGCCATAAATTCTTCTAAACTCTTTAGGAAGGCCATCTTCTGCTTCCGATCCAGAGTAGGAGGAGTGCTGCTTGCAGTGAGCTTGTTGAAGGCATCTGCTAATCTCTGGTAAATAACTGGGTCTTGTTGACTTGACAGTAATGTTTCAACCAATTCAGAATATTCAGCCTATTGAAGAGATAAAGTACACATAAGAACATTTATCTTCCTCAAATGACACACAAGTAGATCACATCAGGTCCTGGGATGTGGGATCCTGCCTGTGGGATTCTGAAAGGCAGGGTCTGACAGCTCTTTTTCTTTTATATTAAGGTGTGGCTGTCATATAACATATTAGTTTCAGGTGTACAACATAAAATTCCATATTTGAATACACTGTGAAATGATCACAACAACTCTTTTTAATCGTTAACATTTAGTCCAAGTTTACTGTATTTCAGGTAGTATTCTAGCCATTTACATTAGTAACTCACTTTTTATAACAATCTTATGAGGTAGGTATTGTTTATACTATTTCACAGATGGAAGTTCTTACATATAGTGAGATTAAGTGGTATGTTCCAGATTGTATTGCTTTTAAGCAAGAATCTAGGCTGCATGGCTCCAGAAGACATGCTAGTTATCAACTTTGTTGGGCTGCCTCTTCTCTGTTTCCCAAACACATTATTCATTTTTATTTTACATTTTATATATAACCTAAGTCTGACTTTCAACAGTTTCCCAGGGGTTTATATAGAAATACTGTCAACACAGTTCTGAGGATAGCAGATCCCCACAAAGGCAGACAGGAGTTGTTTGGGAGGAGGTGGTATAGCAGGAGGAGTGTATTTTAGTCCTTTCTCAAGATGGAAGTAGAACACTTTGAATGAGGAAATGTAACTCCAAGCTAGTAATAGACCCAGTGGCTCTGGGAGAAAGGGCAGGAGAAGGAGCATAAGAAATACAGGAACCTGGGGTTAGGGGTGTGGGTGTATGTGTAGCGCTTCTATTTTAATGCCTTCTATAATAAAGCCTTATATAGAGGAGTAAGTGCAGGGTTAAGGGACACTCAACCAAAACAGATTTCCAAGATAAGCGCTTTTGAAGAAAAAAAAAAAAAAGTGGCTCTGACACTATTTTTCATTAGCTTCTTGTGATATCATGATAAACCAAAATGGTGAAATGAAATGTTAATTCTATTTAGAAAGGAAGAGTAAGGCATAGCATGCCATCCCTGACCCACAAGCATGGAACCAGGATGGCCACCCTAAATGCTCTATCCAAGGGACAGACCTGCTCACAGAGGACTAAGTATAAACTCAAATAATTTCCCTCTTCAAAAGAAATGGTAGTCCCTCTGGGGCCAGACCCAGCAAGATATTATACTAGTTAATCCTAAACCCTGCTCTTTTCTACAATGTGTAAATATGCTTTTTGAAAAAAAGGCAACTGGAATGCAATGGCTTACATGTATGGGGATAAGAAGCCTCTGTTCCTAGTAAGCAAAAAGGAAGTCAAATGATAGCCAAAGGCCACAGACCTGAGATGGGCACCATCTGTAGAAAGTTGTACCTACAAAGGACAGTAAGAATTGAAGTCCCAGAGTACCTTCAGCTTGGGGCACAGATGGTATAGGAAATCTATAGGAAGGCCATCTTTAAGTAGTATGAAAGGTCTCTTTATTAAAAACGTAATTAAAATCAAAACCCTCAGTGCCACTCACAGCAAATGCTATGGACTCTGTAAGGAAGAAAAGCTTTTTAATAAAAATGAAGTCTATCACTTTTAGTCATGCTGGGACGTTTATATGTGCTTGGTGGTGGGGGCAGAGGGACAAAAAAAGGGGAAAGGAGTGTTGGGAAACTGAGGCAGCTGATGATCCAATATGATTCTACTCATATACCTGATGGTTACCTTATCTACTGAATAGGGAGGGAACACGTGAGCTAGCATAACTTTTCTTCCATAATATCACCCCAACAGTGAGTGAGTGCTTCAGAGTCTCTAAAGGCTGAACAAAATAAAATGAAACAATATACTCTTTTCCATAATGTAATATGAAATAATACACTTTCCATATTATGATAAGAATTAACACATTGTTGATTTCTATGTTTTCCCATGGCCGACTCCTCTGGGTCCCCATTTCATTCATCTGGTCTCCCTTAGAAAACTATGAGTTTCTCAAGGACAGAAACCACGTCACTAATATTCTTTCACATCAATTCATGGTTCCTAGCACTTGTTTAAGGACAAGCATTAGGGCAACAATCAATGCAAAGAATGATTCCTAACAGTGTAGTAAGGAAAAGCAGTCTTTATTAACTGACAAATAATGATCAAATAAACAGAAAAAGTCAGAGCTAACAGGAAGTAAAGAAATATAGCCTCACTGAAACAGAACTAAAGCACCGAGTCATAGATTCTCTAAGAAATAGATTACTCTTTGCATGAACAATCTCCTTGCTAAAAAAAAGGGGGGGGGGTAGAGTCCCACAAAGAGACTTGTGTCCGGTACCTGATGCAAACACACCAACGTGTAGAAAGCTTCACCTGCTGCAGTGGTCATCTCTGTGTTGTGCTTTTGCAAAACCAGCATATCAAAAACCAGCTGAAAGTACACAATATAAAACCTCTAAATAAAACTATATAATGATAATACAATATTCCAGCCCCTTCCCATCCCAAAAAAGAAAAAGGTGTGGTAGTTGTTCTTATTTAACAAATCTGAAAATTAAAGAAAACAGGTTTTTAAGAATCCAACAATAATGTACAGATGTTACTCCTTGCTGTGATATGTGTAATCATCAAATGACCAAATTCCCTGTTACATTTACATCAGTTTTCAAGAATAAAGTGGAAAATAATGTATCCAGGGAGTTAATCTCCACAAAGCGCAGTGAACAGAAAGTAACGATTTCCTGTTTTATGAATGATGTATTTCCTTATTTGAATGAAGATTTGCATGCACTGACCATACTTACTTAAGCAGATGGTTTCACGGCTTATCACCCAAACATCTTACCTTAAGAAAGTGCCGTGTTGCTAGAAAAAGTGGTGAATCTGTTTCTTGTGCTTTAGCACACTGTTCAGCTAATGGTGTCAAAGCTTCCAGGCAAAGCTGGCAAACTTCCGAACTCATTCTGATCACGAAGGTCAAGGAACAAACTAGATATAATTTGACTTATAAAAGATTAAAAAGTTATAGCTATTATCAAATTCTAGGACTGAATATAGATAAGTGAGTAGATTAGTGTGCAATACAGCATTATGTGAGAAAGGTTTCCAGTGTTTCTGATCATGAACACATGATTGACTATTCTCTACTAGTGGGTAGCTAAGATCAGAGACTCACCAACAGTATATTATTAATTGGCGCTCTTAATGAATGACTTTGGGACCAGGCACCAAACGCCTTGAGATTTGTGAAAGGAGAGATGAGGCAAACTAACAAACAGAACTACAGCAGTTAGAGAGATGACTGCTTTCTTAAAAATAAAATGAGGGCAGCCCGGGTGGCTCAGCAGTTTGGCGCCGCCTTTGGCCCAGGGAGTGATCCTGGAGACCCGGGATTGAGTCCCGCGTCGGGCTTCCAGCATGGAGCCTGTTTCTCCCTCTGCCTGTGTCTCTTGCGAATAAATAAATAAAATCTTAAAAAAAAAATAAAAAATAAAATAAAATAAAATGAAACCACAAAAGAATAATTAAAGATCCAAATTTAAAAAAATTTTCTTTAGGTAAGATCTTTCTCCCCACATGACAAATGACAATGATGTTCATTTAAAGGATATGATGTCATTCCTAGTTCTAGAGAGTACATCAGACTTTTAAAAAGATCTTCAGGAAGCTGTGGTATTTTTTCAGGAAAAATCTCACAGATAAATGTAATTAATTTGTAGTACTGATTACAAAGGGTTGGAAACTGAAAAAGAAATATTAAATATTTAGAAGCTTACTGGTATTTAATTTCTATTTTCATTAATGCAGTAAAATAAAGTAACAACCAATAAACTTTATGATTTCTTTAAAACTTATTCAAGATATAGAAAACATGAAGACCAAATTAAATATGAAAATAAGTTATAATAGAGGGAATATTTTCGTAATACAAAGGTAATACATAGTAGAAA